ATCAGCTAAGGATATTCACTGTTATACTGTACACAGTATATTTATTTTAAACTAAAAGAAGGCAGTTAATATTTTAGGGACTGATTCACATCTATGTGCATTCGGTAACTTTTACATTTGGTTTCACAGGCAGTGATTGCACATATATACATGCTTTTAATGCACATTTTTATATGTTTTAAATGAAAAGAAGGGAGGGCTACCCATGGAGTATCATGTAATAATGTGAATGAATGTGCATATTCATGTGCTGATATTTACCTTTATGGGTGCCTGTGTATTACTGCAGATATTATAAGAATTAAAGTGATACTAAGCACACTGTTTAATTTACATTATCCCTTCTCTTTCTGTATATGGATGATGGCACTGTAATTATTTTAATAAAAAAAAAAATCTAAGTACCTTTTTCATAGGTGATATACAGCTTTCACATGACCCAGCTCTTTCCCAGCCTGTCTGCAGGGAAACAGTGGCAGGAGGAGCTTCTAGTCCTCTGCTGCTGGTCACATGTTCAAAGTAAAAATAAATCAGCATTTGGAATACAGAATAAAAATAAATAATTATCAATAAACTGTTTCAAATGATCATACAGATATATATGTATATTTTTGGTAATATCATGGTGTGGGAGGAATTCTGCCAGGCACAGGCTGTGTCACACCGCTCCAGCCTGTGTCTTAAAATAACAGTGAGGTAAAGCCTCCCTCAATCAAGATGTAATATCGCACCCCTATTATGTTTAGCTGGTTAGTAGGCACAAAGGAGGAGGAAGGGAGTGGGCTGTCATGTACCATTCTGTATATGCCCACATGTGTGAGTCTATAGTCACATGGGCTGCTCAGATGTGATAGGGAGAAAGTGCTCAGCATAGAAGCTCACTGAAAACTGAGCATGTGCAGTAGCTGCCAACACTTCTCTGCAAATTCCCAACTGCATTGTTAACATAGACAGAAGGGGGAAACAGATAACAGCAGAATCAACCAGTTTTTTTGCAGAATACAGTAAACAAATCCCATAGTGAATGAGTGAATATGAACACTAGGTAATACAGCATTTGTTAATAGTTTTTTTTATGATGTGGGTTTAATGACACTTTAAGGAAATCTTGCAAATGGAGACACAGAAAGAACAATGACCTTACAGAGGTTTAAAATGTTTCCCCTGCTCTTTAATTATAAATGTTTGTAAACCTAGCCTTGTCATTTGTTAGTAAATCAGCCTCTGTGTATCTAAGTAATTGCCATTTTTTGATAAATTATGGAATGGATAGAGAAGGATGACTTTGATGCAAGTGGTCAGATAGAACATGTATTGTAATATAACAGAGCAAAAATTTCCTCTTTCACGCAAAAGTTTTCTGGACCTGTGTAAAGGTATGTAGGAGTATGCAAAAAGCCAATTGAGGATATTAACTGTAAAACTGTGAAGGCATAAAATATTTTTTAGTTTAAAAATATATATAAAATAATGCCTCCATTATATTTATGATGTCCTTTGCATGATATCACAAAGCCTTCAGTTTTGACATGATACTATTAAATTTCAGATCCAGAAAGGAACAATGATTATTCAAGTAGAACTCCAGCCAAAATGTTTTATTTTAGTTTTACAGAAAAAAGGGAAAGGTTTACAGCCTCTGTCACAGTTTTATATCTGCTTTCATACCTGCTATACACATACATACAGGGGCGGACTGACCACTACTGCCACCCTGTCAAAAATGATAACCAGGAGTTGCTGTGTATATACGGCTGTTATTCCAGCAGATACTGGCAAAAATCTGCTGAGAAATACAAAAAAAGATTGTTACTTTTTGTATTTACTCTGTTTGATTAATTTGACATCAATGAAATGAGCCTCTATCTGGATTTGACATCAGCTAAAGCAACTTGACATGTAAAAAAAAAAAAAGAAATAGTACCTAATATATTCATTTTTCAAGAACAGCTTGAACTTAAGGCTGGTACACACAGGCTGAACATCGGCTGGTATTGGCCGACTCAACAGAAACCAGCTGACATTCGGCCAGTGTGTTCAGCAGCCAGTCTAACAACCAGCTTTTATCAAATGGGCATGCTGGAAAGCCAGCATCTGATCAGTGCTTGCAGCCAATGGCTGTGAGAGCTGATCTGTGTCCTGGCAGCAGGAGGCCCCCTGTCAGAACGCAATAGCTCAGCGGGGGAGATTGCTGCACTAACAACTCTTAGCACGGTGACTTCTCCAGTTTTTTTTTGTTTAGCCCAATGGGTTAAACAACAACAAAACTCCCCATGTGTACCAGGTATTGACTGAATACCACAGACTGCAACAACTCTAACAGGGAAAATTGTGTGAAGATTGTACTCTGCTTCCCATGAATAGATACTTATTTAGATCAAATCCTTAAAGGATAAGTTCCACTTTTGGACAAAAATAATAAATGCACATTTTTTTTCAGACCTGTCATAATATCTGCTAGCCGTATGGGATGTACGGCCAAGCAGATATTCTGACAGGAAGCTTGAATGAACTACTATGGTGCTCCACAGTGCCATGGTAGTTCATTGAAAACTACAAGCCAATAGGCGCTAAGGCTGCCGGGACTTGTAGGCACTTATTCACAGAAATCTGTGAATCAGTAACATGGCCGTGTGGACATAGACCCGCATGGCCGCGCTGTTTTCAAATCTGCTCCCCATACTATCTGTCAAGGGAGGGGGCATGGCTGCAGCTATGGGAACATGTTACATATTCTATCCTAAAAATGGGTGGAACATGTAACATGTTCCAAAGGTGAACTTATCCTTTACCAAACATTTTTTGGATTTAATGACATTAGCAGTATGGTTTATTCAGAATAAAAGAGATTCCATGGAAACACATTATTCAGATAGAGAACCCCCTAATTGATGCACTGGAAATTGAAGAGTACATCAAACTAAATGGTAAACTGGATATTGATTTAGTACAATACAAAAAGAAACTAAATAAAAATTAAGGAAATTAAACAAATTATAAAGAGATAAAGAAGATGATTCAAATACTCGTGTATACAACTGGGCAATCCAATAAATTCCAGTTCCAATTCCAATAAATTACAACTGAAATTGTTTTAAACCACTGTGCATCATTTGAATCTTCTGCATCCAATAGTTCAGTTTTTTTATCAGATCCTCCTGGAATAAGAGCAGGAAAAGGAGGAATCTTAGAAAGCATAAGAGGAGAAACACCAAGGAGAAATTTACGGAGAAGCACCAAACAGCAGCTGCACAGGACATAATTCACAATTTTTCATCAGTAAGTCTTAATTCTGATGAATCTTCTATTTTAAATAAAGGTTTGGGGTTTTGTCTGAAGGAACAGAGTAATCATTTTCTAGTTCTTCAGGAAATGTGTACACTACATTGACAAAAAAAATCTTAAAAGTTTTATATCACATGATACTTTTTCCTGAAAGGTTTCAAACTAAAAATGTATTAACATTAAGGAAATTCAATATATGGAATAAAAGTGAGGCCCACCACCTACTATAAACCAATCGCTCTGCACAATCCCAACTCTACCAATCACTCCCACACCCTAAAAGAAAAGTAAACAACTTTCACCCTTGAAAGTCAACGTGAATAATAAAGAACATTTCTCAGTGAATAAAATATACTAAATAATTCATAAATAAATATAGAAATATACATAAATCAACAAATATGCAATGAATAATAAGTGTCCCAAAACATAAATGTCCCAACCAAAAAATGTTCAAAAAATTAAAATGTCTCTATATGACAATGTCTTTTCCACCTCCAAAACAAATAGTGTCTTTCTTTAATTAATCCAACGTGATGTTTCCAAATTCTTCGTGTACCTCAAGAAAATATAAACTCAAGATAGTGTATTACCTTTATATAAATCAAAAAAGTTCCAAAAATCGTGTATCATGCAAACTGCATATTATGTGCAATACATTACACGTGAGAAAAAAAAGCAAAAAAAAACCTATTCAATATATAAATATAAATACAAAAAATCCAAACCAATAATGCAATAAAAGATACACACGCGAATACACTCCAAATGTGAACACTTCAACTACAAACAATAAATAAGTGATTCACTCCACTTAGTGTAAATAATAAATGACACACTTAACTCAATATAAAGTCAAAAAGTAATTCAACTTTCAAAACCAACTCCATACCACTCCTGTGGTTTTCCTCCTCAAACTCATTCTCATATAGTGCACAAAAATACTTGGTGAAAAAATAAAGTGTTTCACTCCAGCTAGTGCAACAATGAATAGTTACCCTAAGCCAGTAAAAACAGGCTCTCCTCAGATAATGGATGAAAGCACTCTCCAAGGTCCTAATTACCCCTGTTGCCTCTCCTCGATGATCCTCATAGAATAAACCAGGGATTAGAGATGATGGTGTAGCAGATAAAATAACATTTATTAGGTAGCTTACATTTAAAACCGAAGAAAACAGCTTCCAATACAAGAGACAGCTCAAGTGTATTACTTATTATGGGAAAAACTGCATGTTCCCAATTCCAAGATGGCCGCGACAGCACTTCCCACCACCTACTATATTTCCACCAGCTGAGGTGTTCATTGAGAAAGTTAAATCTGATGTAGGCCTTCAGTTAACCAGTAGAAAGTTGATCAATCATGTTCCCTATAACCATAGTAAGGAGGAAGTGCATTCGATAGCGTCAAGCCAAATGAGTGGATCTCACTATCAAACCAGATGATAAGGGTGGTTTAGCTGTGATATTAGATTCTGAACGATATTAAAAAAGGTATTGACACAACTTGCTGAAACAGCCACCTTAAATTGTCAGGAAATCCGGTGTTGAGCATGTACAGTGAAAGATTAAAAGATTTAAAGAGCTAAAAAAGTATGTGTATGTTCAACATTCTATTGTTCTGGTACTATACAACTTACCAAAGATTCATAAGCATAATCCATAAATGTAACATCTACTGGATACTGAAGACATATATTTTTGTGTTTTGCATGTAGACAACAGTGTGCCGAATTGAGAAACATCCTGACTTTCCTGTAAATGGTCAGTGGAATGTTACTACAGAAAGTGATGGTGAAAAAAAGACTGCTATCTTTGATGCAATTTTAATTTGCACTGGTCAACATGTGGATGCTGAGATACCAATAGACAGTTTTCCAGGTAATGTGTACAAGGATTTTAAAGTATACATATTTACATGTGAATCTAATGAGCTTATTGTACATAACCTGACTAGTATGTATTTAGGGATGAGTTTTGACTTTTTCATCACAATGTGTTAGAGGTGAATTCTGCAGGTTGGAGATTTGTGGTTCTGCCAAATTTTTGTGTAAATTCATCTTGCTTTAACCTCTTCATGACCGAGGATAAAACAAACCTTAGTGCCCAGACCCAATTTTGCAATTTTGACAGGTGTTAGTAAAACTGCACAAATGATCACAGCTAAGGTGTATCCAGGTGGATATTTTCAGGACACATTGGGCTTTCATTTATGGTAAATGGTAATGGTTATCACCTGATTTTTTTATTAGCAAAGGGAAACTGGACCAAAATAGTAAGATAAATAATTTTTTTAAATTTAGCTGTATATTTCTTGCTATTATCATAACTTATCATCAAAGATCAACTCAAAATAAATTCCCCTTCTCCTGATGATCGCAGTAATACCACATATGTGTATGTTTCTTGTTGCATGTGCCCATTGAAGGGCCCAGAAACTATACTGCACACTTTGCTTTTTTATTTAACTATACATTTATTTCAAGTGTTTCATGTTATACAGGAAAAATAACCAAAGAAACAAATAAAGCATGGTATACATTTGATCATCACAATGAAAGGTTGAAGAGAAAATAAACAAACAAAAAAAATGATTTTTTAAATTAATTAATTAAAATGAATCACCAGGCACGTGAGATTTAAACCAGGTGAAAAGATAAAAAGGGCATTTATAACCAATAAGGTACATACTTATATGACACCAATAGGTGATAGAAAAGAAATCTTAAAAGATGCAACATATACATTTATCAATGAGCATAGAGTAAAAGATAGTATCTAGAGCTTCACCTATGAGGATATGGATATACCAGTAGGGTAGAACTGATTAATAAATATCATGGTAGGGTCAGGCTTCAGGGATCTGCTAACCACGTATTCCATTAAAAAATTAGGCATTTGTAGGTGTGCCCAGCGTATATACATTCCATGAAGCAGAGATTGTTCAGAATTGATTCTACTTCAGAGATGGTAGGAGGTTGGGAAGATTTCCAATTCCTGGTTATGGCCAGGCAGGTGGCTATAAGAATATATGGCTAAGGAGTATGTGAAATTCTGGGGGCCAGATATGCATATACATACCTAATAGGATAGTCTGTGGTGTAGGGAAAAAAAGAATTTGTGCCATAGAGGTGTCTAAGTTGGTGATATCAGACCAGAAGGTGTGGAGTACTGGACAGTTCCACCATGACCTTGACCCTGATCTTTGACCTTGGCCTTGACCTTTGACACTTTTCTTTCTTTTTTTTTTTTACATGTTTGTTTGTTTACATCTTTCTCCCCGGCACAAGACAAATAGGCATCTCCTTCTCCATTCAATGGGCAGAGAAGCTGCACAATGACTGACCACTGCAAAAGTCAATCAGAGGCTATCACAGCAATCAGGTGACTGGAAACAAGGAGTTTTTGGTCCCGATCATTAGTATAAGTCCTAGGGCACTTGGTGAGAGCCCACTTTCTGTGCTGGGAGCGCTCCGCACAAACCTGCAACTCAATTTATAACAGTTGTATCATGTGTTTTTTTTCCTAGATTTTTGGTTGATATTCTGTCTCTATCATGTAAAATACACCTATGATAAAAATTATAGACACTTAATTTCTTTGTAAGTGGTCAAACTTACAAAATCTGCAGGGGATCAAATAATTTTCCCACTGTATATGCGGTGCCCAGGTTTAAAACTTACCTCCTGGAAGCCACATATATTTATGACCATGTTATTTTTTTTAATTTACTACAAAGATTTATTTTAAAAGATGGACTGTTGTTTCAAGGGGGTTTTATTTTCAAAGTTTTCATTTACAGTGTAATATTTCATGCTTTATTTTAAGTTAAATTCCTTTTTTCTTGCAGCATGGCTGCCCTTAAAAAAAAGTGCAATTTGGTTTCAGTTGATATTTGTTTTAGATTACTATTTATTTTGGGCATAATTTTTTTTATTTTGTGTATGTTGATAGAGCCATTATTTTATGTTAAACTGCTTTTTTGCTGAAAGACTTCCCTTTAAAAAAAAAAAGAGGGTTTTGTTTCAGATGTGGTATTTTGGGGTTTTCTTTTGTTTTTTTAATTATTTTTATTTGATGCTGGTAGGGCTTTTTTTTACATTTGAGGTGCTCAAAGTGCAGCATTCACTTGTTACTGACCATTTGTTCTTGGAGCTGCCTTTTGCTCGCAGCTCATCACTCTATTTTTTTAAGGAAAAAAAATGAAGTGCAAGAGCAGTGTGCACCTTAACCCTGCACATTATATCACTTACATTCGTAGCACCCCCTATCCCCATAAATAAAATAACCATTAGACATGCACCAGTTAGCTCTATTATCCATGATTAAAACTGTTCTGCTGCTGGTCAGTTTTACACTGCTGTATCCTCTGCAGTATCCTTATTCTTGTAGTAAAGCCCCAGCCTGTGTTCTTTGCTCTGAGTTAATTTGGATCTACCATATTTAAAACGGTCCTGGTGCTGGCCAATTTTACAATGTTGTGTGATCTGCAGTCTCTTAACTACTTATCGACCGCAGATAGCCGAATGACGGCTGCACTGCGGCTGACCAGTTCTGGGTGGACGTCATATGAAGTCCACCCAGAACGCGCTCTGGGGGCGCGCATCCGGCGATCTCCGTGATCAGCCGCATGCCACATGATCAGCTGCGTCCAATGACACGCTGATCACCGGGAAATGCAAATGCCGGTTCTCGGCTGCACTTTCCTCACGCTGTCAGATCATGAGGAAAGTACTGCCGAAAACCGGCAGTTGTCAGAGCAGGGATCAGCACCGATCATCAGGGTCACTGATCATCAGTGCCCTGATGATCGGTGCCCAGCAGAGCCACACACAAGTTCCGCCCACCTGTGCCCAGCAGTGCGCCCACCTGTGCCCAGCAATGCACCCACCTGTGCTCAGCAGTGCGCCCACCTGTGCCACCCAGCAGTGCACCCACCTGTGCCACCCAACAGTGTCACCACCTGAGCCCAGAAGTGCCACCTACCTGTGCCCAGTAGTGCCACCCACCTGTGCCCACCCACTTGTGCCCACCAGTGCCACCCACCTGTGCCCATCAGTGCTGCCAGTCAGTGCCCAGCGGTTGTGCCAGTCAGTGCCCAGCAGTGCCGCCAGTCAGTGCCCAGCAGTGATGTCAGTCAGTGCCACCTATCAGTGCTGTCTATCAGTACCCATTATCAGTGTTGCCTATCAGTGCCACCAATCAGTGCCGCATATCAGTGCCACCTATCCGTGACACCTCATTAGTGCCGCCTATCAGTGCCGCCTATCAGTGCCGCCTATCAGTGCCACCTATAGGTGCCCATCAGTGCCGCCTATCAGTGCCCATCAGTGCTGCCTCATCAACTCACATCAGTGAAGGAGAAAAATTACCTGTTTAAAAAAAATTTTATAATAGAAACAAAAAAACTTTTTTTTTTTCAAATTTGTTTGCACTTTTTTTGCTTATAGCACAAAAAGTAAAGTGCCCAGCAGTGATTAAATACCACCAAAAGAAAGCCCTATTTGTGAGAAAAAAATTATAACAATTTCATATGGGTACAATCTTGCATGACCGCGCAATTGTCAATCAAATTGCGACAGCACTGAAAGCTGAAAATTGGCCTGGTAAAGAAGGGGGTATAAGTGCCCAGTAGGCAAGTGGTTAATTATTGTAGAATAACACCTGCCCGTATTCTTTTTCTCTAATACATTTTGACCAATTCTCCCTTATTAACAATGTCCGGCTGCTGGCTACATTTACACTGCTGTAGTATTTGCCACCTCTAAATTCTAAATAAGGGTTTTCTAGAAATTGTTCAGCCACAGGACAGTTGTGTCAATGAGAACAGGGACATCATCAGTGAACTATCAGCCAATTTCTACCTGCTGATCAAATCAGGCCTATTACCGTTTGATGAAAAAGCATGTGTCGCTGCTAAAGCTACCTGAAAAAAGACTTTTCAATCTGCAATTAATAAGATTGGGATGCTATTGCAGTGTGAAACCAAGCTAATAGTATAATAACAAAATCTATTCCAGAGCCAGATATAAATGAAAAAATTACTGTTTCGTAGCACCATGTATCAAGCAGGTTGATACCGCCACATGAAAATACCCTCACCTTCTGTATGGTATTATTTTAGACATTATTTTGCCTTGGTACATGTCCCAGATTCCCATGACTTTTTTGACAGTAGTTTGCCTATTAGCCCTAAAAATGGGCAGAACCAGGGGCGGACTGACAACTTATGGGGCCCCCGGACAATAGGGGATCATGGGGCCCCTGTGTCCTTGCCCAAACTCAAAAAAGCCTATGAAAAAGTTACCAGGCAGGGGCGGACTGACAACTCATGGGGCCCCTGGGTAATAGGGGATCATGGGGCCCCTGTGTTCTTGCTCAAACTCAAAAACTCCTGTGAAAAAGGTACCATGGGCATCTCATGGGGCCCCCTACTGACCCTGGGCCCTCGGGCAGTGCCCAAGTTTCCAAATGGTCAGTCCGCCCCTGGGCAGAACCCTTGGTAAATCGAACCCATTCAAATTACTCATCCCTACATGAAATATGTACACTGTGTAAGGCACACTATTACACTATTACAATCTTGTCTTACTAGAATTTTAAATATCGATTATCAAGAGATATCAGTTAAAAGGATAAAAAAAAGTTAATATTCACTAATTGTTGCTTTTGCATATTTCTACTACTACTGCTGCTAATGATAAAAACAATAATTTAAGTGACATAATTTGAATATATATGTATTTAAAGCTGAAGTTTAATTAAACATATTTTTTTCACAGTGAAAAAACAGATGTGCTGTCTATTTAAACACCAAATAAATTAAGTGTGATAAAAATATCAAATCAATAAACTCAGTGAATAAAAAAAAATCAATTTGTGCTCAATCACAATTCACAACAAAATAATGAATGAATAAACAAATAAATATTCACTACATTGCCAAAAGTATTGGGAAACCCCTCCAAATCATTGAGGTCAGGTGTTCCAATCACCAACATGACTACCTGTGCAATAAGCCCATCTGTGAAATTTCCTTGCTACTAAATATTCCACGGTCAACTGTTAGTGGTATTATACCAAAGTGGAAGAAACTGGGAACAGCAGCAACTCAGCCACCAAGTGGTAGGCCACGTAAAATGACAGAGCAGGGTCAGCACATGCTGAAGAGCACAGTGCACAGAAGTCGCCAACTGTCTGCAGAGTCAATAGCTAAAGACCTTCAAACTTCATATGGCCTTCAGATTAGCACAACAGCAGTGTGTATAGAGCCTCATGGAATGGGTTTCCATGGCCGAGCAGCTGCATCCAAGCCTTACATCACCAAGTGCAATGCAAAGCGTTGGATGCGGTGGTGTAAACACACCGCCACTGGACGTTCGATGGATGTGTTTGGGATTGGCGGTTGCCAGAAGAACAGTACTTGCCTGACTGCATTGTGCCAAGTGTCAAGTTTGGTGGAGGGGAGATTATGGTGTGGGGTTGTTTTTCAGGGGTTCGGCTTGGCCCCTTAGTTCCAGTGAAAGGAACTACTCCTAAGGCGTCAGCATAACAAAACATTTTGGAAAATTTCATGCTCCCAACTTTGTGGGAACAGTTTGGGGATGGCCCCTTCCTATTCCAACATGACTGCGCTCCAGTGCACAAAGCAAGGTCCATAAAGACACAAAAGAGCAAGTTTGGGGTGGAAGAACTTGACTGGCATGCATAGAGTTCTGACCTCAACCTGATAGAACACCTTTGGGATGAATTAGAGCGGAGTCTCTGAGCCAGTGCCTGACCTCACAAATGTGCTTCTAGAAAAATGGCCAAACATTTCCATAGACACACTCCTAAACCTTGTGGACAGCATTTCCAGAAAAGCTAAAGCTGTTATAGCTGCAAAAGGTGGGCCAACTCACTATTGAACTCTACGGACTAAGACTGGGATGTCATTAAAGTTAATTTCCTAAACCTGTGTTCTGGAAGTAGTGGAGTAAAAAGCCATTTTAAATATATGTGACTAAAATATCTATCAGCTGCAAAGCTAAGGGAGTAAGTTGTAATGTCATAACAGATGTGGTGTCAGTTATGTGGTAATTTCAAACTTGCGAAGAGACCACAGAGGACTTTTCAAGGGCTAGAAAAGCATGGTTGACAACACACGTGTTAATGCTCTTGACTTGTGGTTCATTCTTATAAATATAGTAGCTGAAAGGGGTTGGAATGTGAAGGCAACTGCGAACAGTTTTTCTGGAGGGAATGCAAGTGTGGTGTAATAGCTGGAGTGAGGGAAGAGAAGATGGTTTCAGGCCACTTGCTAAGTCCTCAGTTGGTGGAAATGGCATGGTACAGAGTGGTGCGAGCACGAGTGGAACTAGGTGGACAGGTGGAGAACACAGAGCATCAAGCAATGTATCCATCTGTAGGCACAGAGCTGAAGGCTGTACATTCAATATTGAAGACATAGCAGAAGGTGCATACCACTGTATTTTGCCACAAGATCCTAAAATAATAAGTAAAAAAGCAAACACACACAAAAAAAAAAACCACTAGCCAAACTGTACTCTACAACAGAGTAGACAGCAAAAGCAAAAACAAAAGCAAAAAAAAATGTTCTTTAGTCGCTGCAGACCCATTTGTGAAGCAATATCATGAGAATTATGCCTCAAAAAACAAAGTTCTTTCCATACTATGTGTAATTGAATCCAGAGTTGACTTAATGAATAATTGAACCAAAATATCAACAATGTTTATCGCATTTGCTTGATTTGCCATAAAAACTGTTTTTCAGTGTTTAAACTGAGCTAAAGTTTTCAGCAAATGAAACATACAGTATAGGAACCATGGAGAGAGAAGTACAGTTTGAGATAAATAATCTGATGGTGTTTATGTTTGTATCCTCAACCTACTCTGTTCTAGAATTATTCACCCTGAGGTCATCACAGAGGACAAGGGGGCACTCTTTACATCTGAAGGAAAAAAGATTTAATCTCCAAATACGGAAAGGTTTCTTCACAGTAAGAGCTGTGAAAATGTGGAATAGACTCCCTCAAGAGTTGGTTCTGGCCAGCTCTGTGGCATGCTTTAAAAAAGGCCTGGATTCTTTCCTAGATAAACAATATATAATTGGATACTAACATTTATAGGTAAAGTTGATCCAGGGAATATCAGATTGCCGCTTGGGGGATCGGGGAGGATTATTTTCCCCTGCAGGAGCAAATTGGATCATGTTTTGCTGGGCTTTTTTTTTGCTTTCCTCTGGATCAACTGTGGGTATAGGATTATAACTTTTTTTTTTCATGGTCGAACTAAATGGACTTTTGTCTTTTTTCAGCTAGACTAACTATGTAACTATATGTAACTATGCTTTGTTTCCAAAAGGTATTAAAATGTTCAAGGGAAAAGTCTTACATTCCAGAGAGTACAAAAGGCCAGTTGGTTATGATGGAAAAAGAGTGTTAATTGTTGGAATGGGTAACACCGGTGTCGACATCTCAACTGAACTGTGCACACTTGCCTCACAGGTATACATCAATTACATTTTATTTTGTTGATTTATGCATGGCATACTACTGTATTCATAATGACGATATGCTGTACACTATTCTACAATGGGATAACAAAGCATTCTAACTACCACCTCATAACAATACCAACTTCATAGTAAATCATGTGTACTTTTACTTTAAATTAATATATTAGCTTGACCATGACATTTATTGTTAAATCTTTATAGCAGAGCAAGCCTTTTCATTTAATATTGTTTAGATTTGGTGGACAAGTAAACTGTAAATTGCAAGTAAAGCATAAATATGGAGCTGCCTTGGGAAAATGGGCAGCTTTTGTTTGGACCTTATTACTCCTGAAACATAGTTTTTCTCTCTTCAATATGTAGAAAGCATTTGTGCAGATTTATTTTCAAAGCACTGCATCTAACTTAGCATCTGTGGGACATAAAACCTGGATGTCTTGCATGAATTTTTATCTCATCTAGATACCTACTTATCTTTACAGCTATAGTAAACTGGCAAATAATTTATCAACCTTGGTTCTTTTTGCATATAAAGCAAGTTTCAGGTTTCCTTTTATACAGATCACATGTTTTCTGGCCAGCCTCTCCTTTCAAGAAAATAACTCACCATGCTGATGATTGATGTCATGAACATGAGTCCAAGTATATTCAAAGACAAAACTTTTTTCATTTTAGAGTAGAGAATAGTAATACCCATCAGTTTTTTGCCATCTGTATAAATTTGGGAGATTTTCCATACCTTTTTTCCATGTACACACAACAGAAGGTGAATGGATACCGCTACAAAGTGAGTGAAATCCCTTCTTATACAATTGTCAATGGAACAAGTGTCCTCACTGAAACACTTCCCCTATCTCGCTGTTCTGCAGTCAGCTCAAAATTTTAGGTTGTAGAAACATTTGTTTTTATTTGAATTATCAGAGAAAACAGAACAATATAAACGAGACACTGTGGGAGGAGGGATACAGGAGACACTGTGGAGGGGGGGGGGCAGCAGAGGAGACACTGTGGGAGGAGGGGCAGAAAAGACACTGTGGGAGGAGGGACACAGGAGACACTGTGGGGGGGGGGGGGGGGCAGAGGAGACACTGTGGGGGGGGGGCAGAGAAAAGACACTGTGGGAGGAGGGACACAGGAGACACTGTGGGCGAGGGCAGAAGAGACATTTTTATTTGAATTATCAGAGAAAACAGAACAATATAAAAGAGACACTGTGGGAGGAGGGATACAGGAGAAACTGTTGGGGGGGCAGAGCGACACTGTGGGAGGGGGGGGGGCAGAAAAGACACTGTGGGAGGAGGGACACAGGAGACACTGTGGGGGGGGGGGTCAGAGGAGACACTGTGGGGGGGGGGGCAGAAAAGACACTGTGGGAGGAGGGACACAGGAGACCCTGTGGGCGAGGGCAGAAGAGACATTGTGGGAGTGGTGGCAGAGGAGACACTGTGGGAGGGCGTACACATGAGACACTGTGGGAGGGAGGACACAGGAGACACTGTGGGGGGGGGGGGGGGAGGAGACACTGTAGCAGGAGGGACACAGGAGACACTGTGGGGGGGGGGGGGGGCAGAGGAGACACTGTGGGTGGAGGGACACAGGAAACACTATTGTGGGAGTGGTGGCAGAGGAGACACTGTGGGAGGGAGTACACATGAGACACTGTGGGAGGGAGGACACAGGAGACACTGTGGGGGGGGGGGGGTGGAGGAGACACTGTGGCAGGAGGGACACAGGAGACACTGTGGGGGGGGGGGGGGGGGCAGAGGAGACACTGTGGGAGGGGGGGGCAGAAAAGACACTGTGGGCGGAGGGACACAGGAGACACTTTGGGGAGGGCAGAGGAAACACTGTAGGAGGGGGCAAAGGAGAAACTGTTGGTAGAGGAACAGAGGAAACTACAGTGGGAGGGGGGATTCTGATGAGAAAAGGACATACAGTAAGACACTGCTTTGGAGGATGGAGAAACATTATTTGAACACTTTAAGCTGTTGCACTAGTCCATTTTACCAATCAAACAAAGAGAGGCAAGATAGATTTACAATCTCAGTACATTTAATCCCTTTGGTTTAAATAACAAACTGAAATTACAGCCATTTGTATTATTTAAAAATATCTTGACAGGTACAGATGACTGGTAGTAGCACTTTGGGCTTGCCTGTAGAAATCTCAAGATACACAGTGGCTGATTATGTTAGAACTACCTTTAGCTATATTGGCTTATCGATGTATAGTGCAAATCTATTAAAATGTAACTAAAGGCAAAACATTTTTTTTCATTTTAGATAGAATAAGGGGGGTTTTATCTTCTACCAGTTGTTTTGCCATCTGTGTTCTATAAAGGATATTTCCCTTCACTTTCTCAAAACATTAAGTGAAATGAAATCCATCCAAAGTGAGGAAATCTGAGGGTGTCACTATGGTCACCAGAACTAATGTCCCCATTGGACAATTTTCTACTCTACTACTGTTCTGGTGTAATTTGTGATCGTCTTTTACTTGCTATGATGATGATAAACATGACAAATAGAGGGGTGAATCTCCCTACTGGGGACACAGACAGCAATAAAAACTGACATGTGTCATAATCTTTCTCGAATCTATCCAAGCAATAAGAAAAGTTTTGCCTTTCATTACACTTTAAGGCAGTGTTTCTCAACCTTTTTACCTTAGCGGAACCCTTGGCAAAAAGTTTGAGGTTTCAGAGAACTTCTGAAATAGTTCTCAGATCTACAGCTCACGGAACATTGGTGTGATCAGCGAGCTGTTGATATAACGATTATTTTTTGGAAATAGCATTTAATAATAGAATCAATATTAAAACATACATGTTAATTGTAAAAGTTGTGATTGCTTTTTACCTGCATGGATGCTAAATTCTGTGTCAAACTTCAGATAAACAGTGTACAGGGGGGCAGCAGGGCAAAGCACAGGATGTCAGGAGGGAACACTACAAGGGAGGTAGCAGGGCACATTACATGGGGGCAGGGCACATTACTTAGGAGCAGGGCACATAATGGGACACAGCAGGCCACATAGCATGGGAGCAGGGCACCTGGGATCAGAGCACCTCACATGGGATCAGAGCACCTTACATGAGATCATGGCACATGGGATCAGAGCACCTTACATGGGATCAAGGAGCTTTACATAGGATTAGGGCACATGGGATCAGAGCACCTTACACGGGATCATGGCACATGGTATCAGAGCACCTTACATGGTATTAAGGCACCTTATATGGGATCAGGGCACATGGGATCAGAGCACCTTACATAGGATCATGGCACATGGTATCAGAGCACCTTACATGGGATCAAGGCACCTTACATGGGATCAGGGCACATGGGATCAGAGCACATGGGATCAGGGCATCATACATGATATCTGAGCATCTTATTTGGGATCAGGGTACATGGGAGTAAAGCACATGGGTTCAGGGCACCTTACATGGTATCAGAGCACCTTCCATGTGATCAGAACACCTTACATGGAATCAGAGCACATGGGATCAGGGTACATGGGATCAGGGTACATGGGATCAGAGCACATGGGATTAGGGTACATGCAATCAGGTCACATGGGATGAGGACAAATGGCGGTGGTCTTCTTCATTTGCAGAGCTAAGCAGGGAAGTGGCTGCGATGAGTCCTCTTCTGCCCCACTGGCCCCTAGTCCAATCCCCCCCTCCTGTCCATCCCGGGTGATGTCACATACAAGTACCTGGTTTGGACAGGAGGGGAGGAGGGGCCAGCGAGGGGCAGTCCTGCACAGCTACACAAGCAGAGCCGCTTACCTGTGTAGCTGTGCATGAGTCAGCAGATGGGATGCAATCTACCCATCAGCTGCCTGTGACAACATCTCCCTTTCATATAAGAACATGGGCATGTCTGGACAGCTTTCCAGATGTCCATACTGAGAATCACTGTGAAGATTTCTCCATGTGTGCATCCACACCAGACACAAATAAGCCTGTTATGTGCATGCCAAGAGGCAATCAATGCAAGACTGTGAGTACTATTGTTGTATTCCCTACTATGCATGGCTTTGCTGCTTTGTACCTCTACCAATTTTTGCTCCTTTATGACTATGCATGTATCCTGCACAAACCTTTTTCTGCAACAATTTCTATGTTGGATACTAACTTTTAATGAACAGCTGTTCTATTACAGCTAACCAACCTGCTTAGGCCTCTATTTGACTGAAGACTGTTTACATAGTATATAGGCAACTGATTTGTCTCCAAGTTGCCACTTTATACTATTTTGATATATGCTAATATATGGTTCAGGAATGTAGAATATTTCCAGATGACACCCATTTAGACATGGGATATACTGTATGTCATGAAGGAAGGATAGCTAGTCTGAGGTCAGGGGTCTATGTGTGGGGAACAACCTTGTTCTATTTTTAATGGATTGGGAATGGGTGTGTTTTTTGTATATACTAATATGCTTAAGTTTTTTGTATTTAATTAGACTTTAATGTTATGAATTTGGGATAGGAATTGATGCTCTGTGTGGTTTCTGGATCCATGGTTCTTCCTGTTTGTATATCTATTACTCTATGAACCAGCAAACCTGTAAACCTGCTATTGCTTTAAGCACTTGATGTGGTTATGATAACTTCCTGCTTATTCATTTTAATGTTCTTTAATGTGATTGGGCATTGGCTGGGCTGGTGAAGTTATGTTACTTAATTTCCAAAGTAAGGGGAAAAAAGGATGCACCATCCCTTGATTAACTGTATTCACATATGAGAAAAAAATAGGACCCCCATATGATTAGTCTGTTGCTGATCAGATTGTATTTTATTTTATCCTATATATCCTAGTATTTCAAATAACCTATTTATTGAGTTTTTTAGGTATACCTTACAACTAGAGAAGGAGTATGGATAATACCTCGTCTTGGGAAAGATGGCTACCCTTTTGATTTGTTTTTCCTACGTCGTATTAACAATTGGATAGAAAACTTAGTACCACGATCAGTGTCCAGATGGATGTTAAAACGATACTTGAACAATCGATTTAACCATGAACTGTACAATATACAACCGGAGGGGTAAAGACGCTTATATGTTTATACAATATTCTTAAAAGAATGCATATACAGTATATAAATTTGTTGAGAGAATAACTAGTGATTTCAGAAAGTCACTCAAACCAGTAATGTATGTGAAGCCACACTGCCACATCAAGGCTTCTTTCTAAAGAGTAGTCTAACCTAATGTGCACATTTGAAAAAATATTATTTGTGACATAATAATTAGCTCCACATCTATCTATGTTTATCCCAGTACAGAAGTAAAATTATATATTTTTTTTCCAATCCTAACCCTTGACAGTTCTTTTGCTGTTGAACAGCAAATATCAATTAGAAAAAAATTATTCTTATTCCCGCTCTTGGTTATGTTTTGCTGCTGTGTTGCTATCCATTTTGAGAATATTTTTTTCTACATAGGGGCACATTGACTGCATGATCATTCTGTAAATCCAGTACCTGTACTGTAATCTTTATGATTTTGACAATGAGTTAAAAGGACTCACATAGCTCAGCCCTTAACTGGACCCTTTCACTATGTTGCAATGTATAGTACGAGTGAGGGCTAACGGGTGTTCAGTTTGGATTCATCTATCATTTTTTCAGGAGGATCTAGACTGAACCACAATGTATGTCTACGGGTGGTCGAATATAAATGGATGATCATCCATTTACATCCGCCTACATCCATGTCCATTCAGGTTTGTTTTTTTGAAAGGAACAAGGCTGTGTCCTCTTCTGGTTTCACGCAAGAAACATTTTTTGCTTATACATTGTCAACTATGGTTAGTTTCTGCAAAATCTAAAAAAAAAAACAGATGCAAGAATGGATGTAAACTGAACTGACGATGGATGTACAAACTGATGTAACCTGGATCTGTATTCATCAGTTTTTTCTTAGCAAAAAACATGACTGAACTGATGACACCCATATGAAAGGACCCGAAGGGAGGGGAGACTAATAACTGGTTCCTCTTGATATCAGCAGATGGGTGACACCATTTTTCCACAATATATAAATCCTAAACACAGTTACTGCTCTCTGACTAGAGCTTAATTACTGTTTTTTCTTAGATAAAATATATTGTTTGTTTAAAAGATTATCCCAGTGCTATAGATCGTAACACATAAATAATTTATTTGTGCGGACTTTGTAAATTATTGATTGGACGAATTCCATAGGGAATGTTTGTCTGATTTTAAAAGAAAAAATGAATTAAAAAAAAATGTGAATCTAAGCAGATTATGGAGGGAACTAATGTGAATTATTGAGAAAATTTTAAAACGTTTATTAACCTCTAACTGTGTTAGTGAAATACATTTATATTTATTCATAGAATTTTTTGGAAGGAACCTTTGGTAAATGATGAGATTGCAAGTCGTGTTTTGTCAGGCTCCATTATCATCAAGCCAGGAGTGACAAAATTTACTGAAACAGATGCACATTTTTCAGATGGTTCTATAGTGCGTGATCTTGATGTTGTCATTCTGTGCACTGGATTTGGCTACAGTTTCCCTTTTTTGGATGAGTCAGTCTTCAAGAGAAATGAAAACAAAGGAAATTTATATAAAAAGATAATTCCTTTGGGTATTGAAAAACCCACAATTGCATTTATTGCATTTCTCCTACCGATTGGACCAACCATGGTAGCTGCGGAGATTCAGTGCCGATGGGCCACCAGAGTATTTAAAGGTAAGAGCAAATGAAGGACAATCTAAGTTTAAAACCGTGTGTCATATTTTATCTCAAAGAAAATGGCATTTAACTTATACAGCAGCTGATGCAAAATTATTTTTTAGGCTTGCATAAACTTCCAAATGTAAAGGGGATGAAGGAACACATGCTGAAGGAAGAAAACCTACGAAAGAAATGGTACGATGCATAGCACATTAATGAACATATTTTGTGATACACTATTAATAAGTGCTTGAGGTGATTGTAACTGTATTAGTACACTTGCAAAAAAAACAGTGAGTACTGTCTGTGATACGTTTTTTTAAATTATATTTTTATTAATTGCATCTTACAAAATCCAAAGACATTCTTATACATAATCATCTACAATATTTTCCAAACCCCTTATAATACCCCAGCCCCCCCCCCCCCATGATATCCTTTTTTCCAGTTCTTATTATTCCTCTAGTTTTCCATCTTCACACCTTCATTTCTCCTCTGACCTCTTATCACTATCTCTCTCCCTTTACTCATTCCTCTTTTCTCTTTATTCTTCTACACCATCAACTCAACAAACCTCTGTGTAAATATAAATTCATTCCATCTTTTTCAGATTTTTCTGAATTTACCCATTTTATCTTCTCCACTATAATATGATTCTTCCTTTCTTTGTATAAATTCTGCCCTCTTTATCCAATCTTTTAACTTAGGGGTCTCCTGGGCCTTGCAAAATTTTTGCCGCATTGATTACATGAGGTATCATTGTATTCTTATACTGTTTTACTGTTAGGTCAGTGTTATTGAATAAACACACCCTTAGATCTTTGGATATTTCCTCTCCTATAATTTATCCTATTTGTTGAACTACATGCTGCCAAAATTCCTGTAGTATGGGACACTCCCACCATTTATGTACCATTGTGCCCTCTTTCCCACATCCCCTCCAGCAAAGCGGTGAATTCTCTGGATGTAACTTATGGGCTCTACTGGGTGTAACATACCATCTTACTATAAATTTATAATGCATCTCTGTGTTCATATCAACATCCCCATGTAAAATCATAAAATGTTTCTTTCTCTGCTGCGCACTCAACTGTGTTTTCAAGTTTTTTTTCCCATTTACCCATGTACAGTGGTACAACCAGTTCAGCCATTATAGAAAGTGTCCTATAAATGTGCAAAGCGCAATGTTTTTGTGTTCCCTTTAATTCAGTAATTGCTCTAGTGGATACACATTTTTAACTTCTGTGATACTTGTTTTATTTGCACTAACATACATTTTTTAGTAGAGTACTGCTTGGACCTTGAAGAAGGGGACATACCTCGAAAGCTTGTCCTGAAAAGTTGTATGTTAGTGCAAATAAAAAAAGTATCAGAGACAGTACTCAGTTACTATTGATAAGTGACAAGTGTTATTTTGCTAAGGGATTACAAGCTGCTCTATCTCTGAATGCTCCCATTTTGGGAGCCAGGTAGGAGGCACCCAAGCCTGTGCTTGTGTCTGGAGTCCATGTGGTCCTGTTTCTCTCTGTGTCTTACCAGTATAGTGCTGCTCTCTGTGTCTCTGGCCAATCACACTGTTCTGGCTCACCTTGCTGCTTGCTCTCTTGCACCGTACATTGCAGCCTATTTTTTGGCCTTGAGAACAAAAACCCCTAATAGTCAAAACTAAACAGGACTATAATGCTACCACACCATAAATTAGTTAAAATACAATAATTTTATTCTTCCCACATAGAAAAGTTAAAATCCCAAAGACATAAATTGCACATTTTACCAACACAAACAGATTAATCTGTGCAGTCCTTAGCACCAAGTTAGATATCACCCCTAAACAAATCATTCAAGGGGGATCATCATGTTGGTCTCTTCAATGCGTTTCGCAGGACAGAGCCTGCTTCAGGAAGAACAAGTTTGTTTAGTGTCTGCTGTGGATTGTTGATGTACAGTACAATAAAACCAATGAAGATAGAAAAAAGGTCCCTCAAAATGTATATTGCATTTCTTATTATTTATTTATTACAGGCACTTATATAGCACCGACCCTAACCCTCAAGGAGTGTACATTCTAATAAAAACTCATGTAGGTACATGTATGGTCTGTCATCGCTTCCTCCATGTGGCACTGCTGGTCCACTAATCTGTGGGGTTTGTTGTTCCACATTAGTTTTATTGTACTGCACATCTTGTCAAAATCCACAACAGACACTAAAAAAGTCTTGTTTTTCCTGAAAAAGCAGACTCTATCTTGCTAAACGTGTCAAAGAGACCAACATGATGATCACCCTTAAATGATTCATCTAGGCTTGATGTCATTCTGTATACTTGGTACTGCAGACTGCACATATTAATCTGTTTGCTTCTGTATAACGTGCAATGTATGTCTTTGTGATTTTTATTTATGGTGTGTTAGCATTAAAGTCCTGCTCAGTCCTGACTTTTAGAGGTTTTAATATTGTAATGGTAGAGGATGTGGTATCAATAAACCCACTAAGTAAAGGAGGAGGCCTTATTGCTTCTTCCCCCCAATATTTGTATTTTGCATTTTATTTTCTGGCCCTCTTAACTGTTTGTGGCTCCTGAGGATCCCCTGATTGCCCAGAATCTCTCCACCGCAGGGTATGGTGGGCAGTTTTGATTCCTGGAAGCAGCTGAAGACAATAAGCATCCTTCTTCTCTTCTTCACCATCCTATCGCTGCAGGGGGGAGGGATGGATAAGCTGAGGCATGGTCAAGAATGCCTGAGCTGTGCAGTTCTGTTTAAAGGATCCCTGACAAGTTATCTGCCTTGTCTACCTGAGACACTTTGGGCTTTTATGTTCTAGTTTGGCCTTTATTTCTTGTATGTAATTTCTGTTTTTCAAGGAAGTGCATACAATAAACTTTTTGTTGGTGTACAGTTCTCCTGCTTTGTGCTTTGGCATGTTGTCTCTGCCCAGTTTCTTTCTCTTTGCAGACTTTACAAACTGTCAACATATCTCCCTGATAAGTAGTAGTCAGTGGAAGTTATGATGGCATTGATAGTATTGGATATATTTTTTCATTAGTATCAGAAAGAGATGAGTAAAATAGTTTACTTATCGGGGTCTGATTCATTTTGATGAAATAAGGTCTTTCAATCACAGTGGAGGACAATTGTATACGTTTGGGGGTGTCAGTTTCTGTTGGGCTTTTATGTTCTTTTGGAAAGAACACTAGAGGTCAGGCAAGAAAAGTAGTTACACAACAAAATGTTGCAGTTTGCAGATTCATAAATACAAGGGGTTCTAGATAAGATTCTTAGGGAACAGGAGGCAGTACCAAAAGGATGTGAATTTTTTTTTTTTGTATATTTGTAAGTTAAAAGTCTAACTTTCACTTAAAGATTTGCCAGTGCACTCTGTTACATAAAAAATAAATAATACAATGATACCACTTTATTGAGAATAACTTCTGAATATCATCAGTTATCAGTGAATTACTGGAACATTTATATTGTTTAAATTTTACCTCTTCTTACCTAAGTAAAAAAGTATACATAAAAGCCATAAAAATAATTGGTCTCTTCTGTAGGCAGTTCAGTGGCATTAAAGGCTGTGCGGCAGAGAGGTACACAACTCTGCTGCCCTTAAGAAAGAGCTATTATTCTAAGTATATTAACAAAACTTAAATGGTTTTTGATAATATATATATATATATATACAGTCAGGTCCATAAATATTGGGACATCGACACAATTCTAACATTTTTGGCTCTATACACCACCACAATGGATTTGAAATGAAACGAACAAGATGTGCTTTATCTGCAGACTGTCAGCTTTAATTTGAGAGAGCAGTGCATTGTGGAGCGCAGCGGGCGAACAGCTTACCACCATTTGTGTGTTTGCCGAACACACGAATGGCTAATGTTTGAGTATATCAACTTGAACATCAAGCCCAACGCTATTCCTGATATGTGCCTGCTGTGCCATGTACTTTATTGAAAAAGTATCCTGTTCTCTTTGTATTGCTTCCTTCATGTGAAATCCCTGCCAGTCCATCTGCTTCCCTATTAAAAACTGACCACACTAGGCATGAGAGCACAGCTTGTACTCTCCTCCAATGATCAGACTTGTCCTGACACCCTGCTCCCCCCCCCCCCCCTTGCACAGCCATTCAGTGGGAAGCTCAGTGTGCTGCTGTTTCTCCTCCCCCATCTTTCTGTGCAGCTGACTGCAGAAGGTGTGTGTTCACTTATAAAAAAGAAAAGAACATCGTATTCATAATGATTTCATAGCTATGCACAAATGTTTTGCTTTTCATTTATATTTTAAACTGAATGGGCTGCTTTACAAGGTGAGGGTTTACATACTGTTTACTTTAATGACATTGGCTGTGTGCTTGGGGTTGTTGTCCTGCTGTAGAATATATTTGGTGCCAATCACATGCCTCCCTGATGTTATGGCATGATGGATAAGTATCTGCCTGTATTTCTCAGCATTGAGGACACCATTGATCCAGACCAAATCTCCAACTCCATTAGCAGAAATGCAGCCACAATCATGCAAGGAACCTTCACTATGCTTCACTGTTGCCTGCAGACACTCATTATTGTACCGCTCTCCAGCCTTTCGCCAACAAACAGCCTCTTGCTACAGCCAAATATTTAAAATTTTGACTCATCAGTTCAGAGCTTAATCTTGTGTCCATGTTGGAGGTATGGCTTTTTGGCTGGAATTCTTCCATGAAGACCACTTCTGGTCATACTTCTCCAGACATTAGTTGGGTGTACTTGGGTCCCTCTGGTCCCAAGCTTAATTGAACAAGCTGAATTTAGAAGCTGATTGGCTACCATATGCACAGCTGCACCAGATATTGCACTCTACAGTTTTAGTGAACCAACCCTAAAGGCACAATTTGCAAAATATCGTCTTTGTTGGTAACAAAAAGCTATTTGTAAAATAACCTCTTTTTATCCATTAAGGTTTGCAACATCTGAAAATAATTTTCGAAGAACAAATTACATTTGGTACATTGAAGATATTGCTTCAGATATAGGTGCAAAGCCAAAT